CCATCTATCTTCTAACTTGTCTCCTCATCCTACTGTCTACCTGTTTACCTTCCTATTAGTTGACTTGTCTATCTGTTAACCTGACCACTTGCATACATGTCAACCTATCTACCTGACATCTGGGTATCAATATTTCTACATGTATATACTAAATTAATAATAATGATTTGAAGTGATCATTTCATATAAAGAAATGTACTTTTTTTAACCTTTTCCTGCAATTCCAAATCTGATGGACCTGCCTTCGCAAAATAATAAATTTTCCATTCCGAAATAAAAATATTGTTTACATTTAAATCTCATTCAAAAACCTGTCATTTTAACTTTTTTTGCTCTGTCTTTTGGACCAGTCTTGGTCAAAAACTAATCAGCACTTCTCGCCGTCATCACGAATCGAATGTCTTTTGAATAAATGTAATCGGATGCTAAAAAATGTTTCAATTGTTTGCACTTTATGCTTTGTAACTCCCAAACGATTGGATCTCTCTTTATCAAAACAAAACAGCACGAATTAAAATCGAAATATTCCTTCCACGAATAGGAATCGAATATCTTTTAAACCATTCAAATAAGTTGATCCGTGCTCTCAAAATCGTTGACAAATCCCTACAAAACACATACATCTAATTTTTCTAAGGTATACTAAGATGTTCAGCGCCCAAACGTAAAAATATTCAAAAACTTTCATTTTAATTGTTTTGCGATTACTATAACATGCCCTGCGGGAAGTTAATAAAAAAACACATTAACACGAATGCGTGCTTGTACTTTTCCGTGAAAGCAAAAATCTAACATTTTTCTCATGTCATAATGTATTATCAATGCCTTACGTGAACCCTAATACAAAACATTGAAATAATAGAAACAAGTATTCTATACCTATATCTATACGTGTAGTTCCAATCCTTTCATTCGCAATAGAAAACACTCGACGTATCCATGGAGGATGTAATATCGCTTTTGTGTTTTGTATTCTATACCCATCTCCTGGGATCCAGGAGGTGGATCCAGGTAACATGACCAGATGAGTTTGCCCAAGGCGGGCTTAGTGCGGCTATTGTGTCGATGCGATACCCTCATTTCGGAACGACCTTCTCACCCCCATCTGGTAACTGGGTTGTTCACATTGGTTAGAGTCAGAGTTTGTTTTAATGCTAGATTGAAGTTTTTTATTTTACTTTAGAAGCAGTTGACGGATGGTTGAGTAAATAAGACTTTTTCCTGTCTGACGGGTGTCTCTTGCCATTTCTTCTTTGCCTTTGTCTTGCGTTTCACCTTACAAAGTAGAATTAATTGTGGGCGATATTAGAAACTTCACGGATTCTTTCAGATAGTTTCTACTTCCAGTTATGCAGGGGACCGTTCAATAGTTTATATTGGATTTATCGAACACAATATTTATTTGTATTGATTAACAATTATTGTGTGAATCATCTTGTTATTTCTAGAATTGAATATATATATAGAAGCGGTATTACTGCTTCATGAGCAGGCTGAGTAACGACTGTACTCAACCAAATTAAAAAGCTCACTGAAAAATTTAACCAAAAATGTAAAAATCACTCGAATAACAACATCCAGGACCTTGGCCAATATATACGCAAAATAGTTGGTATAGCAAACAGGCCATGCCAAACTATTCCCTGATCGACTCATAGCGACAAAAAAGATGTTTTGAATATAACTCTATCTCAACTATGCAAGTGTTTCTATGACTCTGTGTTGTCTTGCAATATTTTCTCCCATCTTATACTTTGTTGTTTATTTTATTAGGCTTTTTTTAAAAAAACGGAGTTGTATTTTTTTTGGAAAACAGTTTCTATGTTACATGTTTATTAACTTCCCGTAGGGTAAGTTATTGTAATGGGCCGAAAATCGGAATTGAAAATTTTTACTTTTCTCGACGTTTTGAAGGTTTCTGAACGTTTTGGCATACCTAAGAAAAAATGGATGTGTGTGTGTGTGTGTATGTATGTATGGATACAAATTTCCAGTCACGTTTTAGGGCGCACGGATCAACCGATTTGAATGGTTCAAAAAACGTTCGATCCCAATAGGGAAAGAGCTGATTAGTTTTTTGGCAAAGCAGATCCACCTGTTTCGGAGATACGGAGCAAAGAGTACAGAAAATAGAAATCGAATTTTTGAGAGAACGGAGTATCCGCTTTGAATGATCTAAAAAACATTCAATTAGTAATGATTGGGAGAAGTGTTTATTAGTTTTTGCCAAAGGCAGGCCCAGCCATTTCGAAGATACGGAGCTAAATATGTAAAAAATGGCAGTTTTTGAGAGAACTTAGCGTCCGATTTAATGATTCAAAGAACTTTCTGCTTGTCTTAATAAAATAATTGATTTTGAAAAAAAAAATTTGTTCCAATTTTTTTTTTTTTTTTTGAGTTTTTTGTATATCGAAAATATTTCAGATTTTATTTTATTATTTTATATTAGACAATGATACAATATTTATAATAATCTATTTGAAAACATTCAGTATTCAACGGGAAGTTCCAGCAATTTGCCTAAGGCACGATGCCATAATTGCCTCAAGACAGAATTTCACTTACAGCTAGTTTCTTAATTTATATTGTTCTATTTATATCATATAGATATTAATGATAATTTACACAGCTATAGTACATTGTCTTATATTATTTATAATTTTTAAAAAATAATGGTAATGTTTTTGTAAATGTTATGCAAGATGCGTTACTTATGGCTAATATAGTAATAAAAATAATGTTTTCTAGTTATTAACTTCCCGAAGGAGAA